AGGGATGGCGGCCCCGCCGCGTCCGCGCCTCGCGGGCCGAGTGCTTGAAAGCCCCTCTCAAACTGAGAGCGGCGGGAGGAACCTCCGCCTGTTGCAGAAACGCGTGGGTGCCACCTGGGACCCCCCGGGGGGCTTTGCCCTCAGAGCACGTGGCTCAGCCCCTCAGCAGGCTGCCCGCCCTCGTTTCACCTCTTCCTAGGACACTTTGTACTCCTGTGTGATCAAACTAACAGCAGCTCAGTGGAAGCAATAGGATAAGCTATTTAAATACAACCTTTGACAGATCTTAAACTCCCAAGTATTCGATTTACAAAGGTTTTTCAGTCAAGGAGAAAACTACTTTGTTCCTTCCCTTTCGGCCGTCTATCAGTAAATGGAAAGCACTCAGATCTCTTTAAAGACAGATCTCCTGACTGAACTTGGCAGCTGCTTGCCGTAATGCCTCGTTAGTTGCAGCACCTCCGTGCTTTGCATCACATCACATTTCCAAGACATGAATATGTTTTGCAAAATCCTGTGTATGGCAAGAACCTGCTCCTATTTCCCACAGTACGAGCAGATAAAGCAAGGCTGGGGCACCTGGCTCCTGTGCTGGAGGACAGGCCTGGCCTGTGCCACGAGGCCTGCGCCTGTGACCCAAAGGTGACCGTGGGACAGCAGCCCACTGCCACCAGCCTCCTGCCGCTCTCAATGGATGGACACTAGGACTGTAGGGAGCCAAGCCACGGAGGTGGATGGCAGCTTCCTTGCAGCAGGATCTGCAGATTCAGTCACAGACCAACCTAGCACTGGCTGACCGTCTCACAGCTGGAGCCTATGGGGCTGCTAAGAGCACAGCTCAGGAAGTAGCCCTGCAGTGGGAGCCACTTCATTAACATTCATTTGTTTTAATAGCCATCCCTGGCCTGACTGCAATCGAGACAGGTTAGGAGAGCATCCGAAGTTGTAATTAGTCTACTAATATTCCCTGAACTTGGTATTTTGAAAATCCCCGTGGAAATGTTCGTTTGCATTTTTATACACCTGATTCAGCCCCCAACAGCTGTGCCTACAAAGTCTCAGGTTGTTCTGTTCCTGACAGCTTCAGCAGCACGGAACTAACTGACCATTAAACTTACCATTTCCCCAGGAAAATCATGATGTTACCTTTGATACTGAGTTTATACAGCTCTTAACAAGTAAGATTGCGGTTTTGAAAAACTAGGATCTTCAAAGGTTTTCATTACTCCTCTAAGCCACTGTGCCAGAGGGCGCGCAATCTCAGCACCCACAGGGCTCGGCAGGAATCTCTCTAGGTCTTGGAGACATCTGGCAGCTGGCATGCATTGCAGAAATGCTGAAGCCTTTAGAAAAAAATGTTACACTGAATCAGCAAGTACACAGTAGAAGGATCAAGGGGACACAGGGTAAGGAGGAAAAGCCATATATCTTCTGGATTTCCATGAAGTGGCTGCACTTTGTGTTGTATTCTTTCCCCCATTCATTCATCCATTTTATGTGGGGGGAAAAAACTGGTCCAGCCTCTGATTTCCTAGCTCAGATAATCAGGCTGTCCCACTAATTCCATGCCAAAGCTGTCATTTTAGCTGGGTTGAAGTTAGACCTACCTTGCCATCACATTGCAAATAAGTAAGATATCAAACACAAAATTTCTTGTTTATCATCTTCTACCTCCTTTAGTCTTTCTCCCCACCGCAAAATATGATTCCAGCTCATGATATGATGCTTTCACCACAGAGCAGGGGGATGCTGTGTTAGTGTTTCACTGTGACTATTTTGTATTCTATACTCATTTCCTTTCTGGTAAATTCTGCAAGTAGCACAAAGTCAGAAGCAAGACCCCATTTGAGGTAGCACACACACATTGTCTTTCTGATTCATTTTTACATGGATGAGACCTCTTCTTCTCCTATTTTTTAAAGCTGATTTCTTAATCTGCTTGTTTGCTGAAGCCTATTGGACAGAAATTGATGCGTGACGTTTCAAGTAACACTAATACGATCAGCAAACTATGACATCTTACCATCCATTAGAGGGCACATTCAGCTCTATACTACTATTATGCTCTCACAGTATGTTTTTTTTTTTCCTGAAAAAGCCCCTAGTTCATCCTCTAGCTGCAGAGCCTTAAGCTGCTGTTCTGCAGTCCCTTTGAGCAGCCGTTTGTTCCAAAACAAAGTAGAAACTTGCCTTCACCTAAACCATGTCCATTTGTCACCTACTTGAACTGAAAACCATCCTGACTGGAAAACCCAGCACCAGTGGTAAATGAGGAAACCCAGCTGAGACCTCCATTTTAAGCAGCAATTCATACAATAGCATTCATAGCAATGCAAAGTCATAACAAACTACCAACAGCCTTGAAAATTAAAAGAACACTGGATCTTAAAATTGAGTTATATTCGCATACTACCATATAGATTTCATGACCCTGTCAAAAACAAAATAAATTATGTGATAGGATAACAAAGTACAGAAGGTAGTGCACAGGTTAGTCTGCCATACAGACGTTTAAAAAAATACATCACATAAAATCAGTGAAGCATTAATTAATCCACAAATTCTTACCCCCAGAGTTTACAGGCTGAAGCCTGTAAACTATCAAATACATGGGTGCTTAGTTACTTGTGATTAACACTACTTGTTATGTTATAGAAAGAGCAAAGAGGAGCAGAAGTCATGCCTTAAAACAAAGGTGAGCCCAGAGTATAAGAAATACATGCATGACTTCCAAAAAGGTATTTGGGAAAAACATCTGGGCATCTAACTGAAACTGTTCAGTCTATTTTTGCAAGTCATTTTAACCAAGGTGCTCCAGACATTGCTGCATTTCAGCTTGAGGTTCCTAAGGTCTGATTATTTCTGCTCTCTAAAATTAAATGAAATTTCTAACTCAGAGAAATAACCTAGTTGTGCAGCAGACTGTAGGTCTGAGAACTGAGGAATGTAAGTGCTCTCAAACAGCCATAATAAATTTGTCAAAAATTAAGTATGGACTTACCCAATTATGGAATTACTGAATTTCCTCCAGACTTTTTATGGGGAATAAATATGGAAAGATAACTATGAAATCCTATGTTCTGAGTGGATAATTGTTGAAATAAAACTGATGAGAGAGTACACAGCCAGTCTTTTATTTATATGCGTAGCATTTGGAGTGTGGGCTAACAGGAAAGTACTGTTCCTTCTTAGAACTGCTCAAAAGGGCATAGAAAATTTTTCCCTATTTGGACAGTATGCCAATCTTCATTTATTTCAGCAGGAGCTGACACACAGTCCCTCCAGATTGAGAAAAAAAATAAGAATAGAAGCATCCTGACTGTAGGTGTACTTGGCCAAACGTCTTGGCTCTAACCTGTCCTGCCCATGTGGTCTTCCCCAGTCTCAGATCAGAGGCAGTGACCAATAGAAGTGTTCTTACTCAGAGGAGAAAAATAAATTATCTGCATTTCGTTTGGTTCCATGTTTGGTAGGCTTTTTGTTAACATTTTAATTCTGTATTTTAGTTTTCTTGGATTTGGATTTGTGTGTATGGGTCAATATAAATCAAGGCAAATGGAAGACAATTAGATGCAGCTTGCTTAAACTCCAAGAAAATGCGGGGGATTTCACTAAGTAATTGCAGTAAAGATTTCTGTTTGCATGCCCTGAGAGATGCTTAGGAACCCGTGATTTTGGGTGAATGTTTTTTCTTAAGAAATAGGGAACACAGTAGCCTCCTTGCATTTTAGGCAATGCAAGCTTTGTAGGCTCTCTGTAGACAGTGTAGGCACTAGCATGGTAAGTTATGTGTGCAGACTGGGAGAACTCCTTGAGAGAAACCCTGCAGAGATGGATTTGGCATTTCTGCTGGCAAAAAGCTTGACGTGAGCCAGTAGTGTGTGCTCAGCCCACAAGCATCCCAGACTGCATTAAAAGAGAGGTGGCCAGCAGGGTGAGGAAGGTGACTCTCCCCCTCTACCAGTGTGGCACCATCTAGAGTACTGCATCCAGGTCTGGCTCCCTCACCACAAGGTAGGCACGGAGCAGGCCCAGAGAAGGCCATGAAGATGAACAGAGGACTAAAGTACCAATCCTACAAGACAGACTGAGAGAGCTGGGGTTGTTCAGCCTGAGGAAGAGAAGACTCCAGGGAGACCTCATTTCATTTTTTCAGTACTTGAGGAGAGCTTATAAACAGAAGGGAGACTGACTTTTTACATGGGCAGATAACGATAGAACGGGGGGAACGGTTTTAGAATAAAAGAGGGGAGGTTTAGATTAGATGGAGAAAATTATTCACTCAGAGGGTAGTGAGGCATAGAAATAAGCTGCACAGAGAAGCTGTGGATGTTCCATCTCTGGAAGCATCCAAGGCCAGGGTCCCCAAGCAACATGGTGTAGTGAAAGGTGCCTGGGCCCACAGGTGCAGGGGATAGAATGAAGTAGTCTTTAAGGTCCTTTGCAGTCCAAGGCATTCTGTGATTCAGATTCTACAAGCTACTGCCTATAATAATCTCTCAACGGTGGTTCGGTAACTCATGATTTAACAGTATTTTTAAAAGCTACCAGAATGTAGAATCAAATCCTACATAGGACACTTTGCAAAAATATAAAAACAAAACCTAGCTGTTTTAGGCTTAGATTTGGAAAAAATATTCTCAGTTAGGAACATGCTTGAGCCAGCTATCTTCCAACTCGTATCCCCTTTGGTCTTAGGACCAAAGAAAGACTCCTCAAATTATAAGACATGGCCTAAATTCTGTAGCTTCATTTGAAAAGCAGAACAATTTCAAAAAAGAAAAAAAACACACTGTTTTTCATCTGGACAGAAGCATTCTGTGAGGCTGACTGGTAAACAGACTGCTAGCTTTTTGTTTACAGTAGCCTCTCCAAGAAGCACATTTCAGAGTGCCAGTGAGTGTGTTTCTTGCACAGGGCTTGTATTTCATTGCTTCTGCCTTGCGTGTTCTAAGAACTTCTGTTTTAAAGTGGAATATTTTATAAAGCTGATGTCTTACCTCCCAACTTCATAGACCTCTTTCGTTGCTTGCAGGATTTCAGTGTAAGAAGGCCTGTCAACAGACAGAAGCCAACACTCCACTCTCATTCCCACACCGGGAAAACAGAAACAAACAAAACAAAAGAAATTTAAAAAAGAAAAATAAAGGAAGAAAAACCCGCATGTCGCTTCATTTCAAAGTCTTACTGAACCCAGCTTTTCACCAAGTATTTCCCACTTCCTGACTTTCTGTCAACAGGGTGGACTACCCACAGTGTTTGCTTGCTATGTAGTCACAACTTTGCTTCACTTCTCAGCAGCAAGAGGGGCATGCAGAAGCAGCCAAACAAGCGTAAAGAAATCCACAACTTTATAACTAGCCCAGTACAACTTTATTATTATTATTATTTACAATGAGATAAGTGATTTTCTCATTGTAAGTAAACTCTTCCTGCTATCGTATACAGCTGCACTCACAAAAAAAAAAAAAAATCCTAATTTTCTAAGTTTGATTGTATCTTAATGACATTATTTCCAGGGTCTTTATCAGCACTGGACTCATACCCTAGTCCCAGTGACTGATACCAGGTGACCCTAGTGTCTGATGTGCTGTTGATTTTTGTTAACACTTGGATACCTGCTTTGAGGATCTTTTTAGTACCTCATCTAATGTTGGTTAATATTTTCTTATGATGTATTCAGCTCAAGCACTGCCAGGTGCAATATTCATAAATTCAAATTACAGATGTTCAGACAGGAATACAGATGCTCTGTAAAATTCAAAGCATTTAAATAAAGAGAGGAGTATCTTCATGTGCTTCTATTGATTATTGTGAGGCAAAGGCAAGTAACACCAGTTAGCTGATACAAAAGCTTCTGTGTAAAGTCACGCGGTGAAATATCAGTGCATTCTTTAAAAGAATGCATAAGAATATTCAAATCTAACTTCAGTTACTTGACCAAAATACAGTATATGGCACAACAGGAGGTGAAATTGGGCTGGGACAGGCACAGATTAGAAGTAGTGAAACAGCTGAAACATTGCCTACCAAAGGTGGTTTTGGCAGAATTGCAGCATCTTCAGGGAGCAGATCTCTAGTGGTGGGCTTAGAGTACAACTCCGAAACCTGGATCATCTCTCTGTTGTTTCAGAACACTAGATAGCTGATACAAGACCTCGTAACAGGCTGCCGGACTATAACACGTTTCAAGTTTTCAGTAAGCAAACTCTTAATCCAAGGATAAGAGCCACCTTTATTAAAAGGAATGCAGGGAAGATGAAAGATAATGAACTATATATAAACAATATAGCTGCCTCAGACCAGAGAAGAGGAACTGTTATTCTTGAAAGCATTATATATTATAACCTGAAGAGATCCAGACGCAGCTACATCAGTTAGTATCGTTTAACACAATAGAGACTTAGCAAAACCATTTTTACACCTAGAAAATCTAGTGAAATGGTATTAGAAGACGTTTTCCCATGTAAAAAAAATAATTCTTACACATTCCAGAAAAAGAACTGAAAATCCTGTTTGCATGGCTTGCACCTCCAACTTGCATTCTCAAAATGAAGTCTCTTGCTCAGCCTTCCTAACCTGCCTACCTGAACTACAGATCATTGCACCAGGAAAACAGTAGATACAGTAGGAAACAATATGATGCATCAATAGCAGTTTTATTTTGGAATCTACGTGGTCCAGACACACTGGCGTCCAATATTCAGCAAAGCTCCATAACACAGGGTCTTCTACATAATACTATATATCAGTCAACAGAAACCATGGGGGAAAAAAATAAAAGTCAAACCAATCAACTTCTTTTAATACTTCTAGTACATGAGGACCCTTCTTTTGGTCATACACAGTCAGTACTATTTTCCAGGCTTTCTTTGTTTGCCAGGTAGGATAAGCTGTGGAGAACAAAATTCAGCAGGAAGTGCCAACATGCTCTAGCATTACATGTTTAATATTAGAGTCCAAGGCCCGAGACATACAGCAAAACAAGCTGCTGCTATTGGTTATATTACACCACTCCTAACAGTTTATTTCAGATATTGATGCATCATTTTCTCAAATGAGGTCTTAGGTGGTAAACGAAGATCTTTCAGATCTCTCCAGATTACTCCTACAAGGACTCCATACAGGGGTAGTGTCACTTCTTAAGTAGATGGGTAGTTGGGTAGTACAGTTGCAGAACTGCTACCTGGCTTCTTCACACTGTATTAGTAATGTTTTTCTCATTAACTCTTCCTTGTTTTTCCTTATGTTGCTTACATTCTTATGAGTCCTTATTAAACAGTAATCTGCAGGGTGAGGAGATTCTCTCTTTTTCAGGATTAAGCATAAAACACAGTTTTTACTGTGATCACAGCTTTTCATTCTAGCATATATTAAAATATATTTATCTCTGAGAAGTCTGTAAAAGGGACTGCTTAACAGATATCTAGATTACCTGCACAGAAATATTGAGTCTCAAACACTAAGCAGGAATACCTGTCAATAAAAAGAGGATATTTTTTAATCTGTGAATTTTTCTATTAAAATCAGAAGTCAGCACACATCGTCAGTGGAACTCACTATAACAAGTCACTGAAAAGAAGAATCTACAAATACACAAAGCTGGAACAGACACACTCACAGTGTACCTAAAGGATTTGAAAATGTAATTACCATTTCATTCAAAAGATATCAAGCTTTATGTTTCAGAGCTTTAGTAAATCTTTAGAAGACCAAAAACAGGCTTCTTGCCAAGAAGGAATGTAGATTATAGCATCAGCTCCAAAATTAATTCCTCTGCAGCCTTTGTTTTTAGTAGCTGTCAGGATTAAGAAAAATGACAAGATGGACATAATACTAACCTACATTACACTAGTTCTTAGATAAGCCATCCCATAGTGCAGTATGTGGTTTCAAAATACTGCTTGTAACTGAGTACCAGGTCCAAACAGTCCCGGCTTCATTCAGCCACCACCATCGTTCCACACAGCACAAGTCTCCAGTTTCAGCAAAGGTTTCAAGAGAGCATGACTTGGCCAGCGGCTGGCAGGTATTCAAACACAATATCTACAATTGCTGAAGTTATTAGACCACTCAAATCTGCAACAGGATTTTTATCATTTTGCCACAGAGAAACTGCCAACTGTCCTCATTCAGACAGCTGGGATACTGAATTCCGGAGTAATTTTGCCCAGGTACAGAGAGCAGATCAGTTATGAAACCTGTAGTGGGAAGGCAGCACAACAGAAATAAAACAAAGCTGAATTCCCAAATCTCAGCTGGGAGATATAAGCAGCATTGTCAGTTAGCAAATGCTTTATTGTTGCATTTCATTGATCAGTTATAGAACAAAGTTAACTCTTACTCTGTTAGCTGATTTCAGCCTTAATAAAAGCATTAATAGTGGAACTCAGAAACAAGTGTCCCATTTGAGAATGATGGCTTTACTTTCCAGAGCCATAGAAAACCCGTGTCTTGCACAATCTTCCAGCAGTTTCACTAAAGCACAAAGTCTTTGAAAAATCTGAGAACATTACACAGAACAGAGCAACAACCATCAGTCTAAAGAAACTAATGAGTCTCACCTTATCCAACTCCAAGACCCTACTTACCATCCAGCGGGCTGAGTTGTGTTTAATATAAAAGAAACACAATACTTAACAAGTAATACCTATATATTTTCCAGCAGAACAGACTCCAAGCAGTGTAATTTATCTGAAATTAACTTGATTCCAGGCATGCTTTTCTTAATGTACTTAGGGAGACAAAGTGCATACTTTTCTCTATGAAACATTCATACAGAAGGAAATTATAAATCTCTGCATTAAAGCAAAAGTTTCCAGGCTAGATTTTGCTGCAAGGGTTTGTGGTGATACCATTTCCTCTGTTTCATTCAACACATTTATATATTCACAAATTTTCTGAAGAATCAACACATACTAATTTGACCTGCTCCAAGAGATCTATAAAAGATCTTAGACGGTATAAAGTGATATTCCTAAGCTGGGGGAATGTCAGGATGCTCTTCCAAATATAAAAAATAAAAAAATAAAAAATTATGTACCCAAAAGGTACATAATTGTGACTACATGACAAAAATGTCAATCGTGATCTGCAATACTTTTCATATGCTAGAAATTTCATAAATGAGATGGTTGGGAAGCTGAACTACTGCTGGACCACACTGCACCAGCAGTGTGCACTTGCATCCCAGAAGGCAAACCGTGTTCTGGGCTGCATTACACAAGGGATGGCCAGCAGGGAGAGGGAGGTGATTGTCCCCCTCTACTCAGCTCTTGTGAGGCCCCATCTGCAGTACTGCGTCCAGGCCTGGGGCCCCCAGCACAATAAAGATACAGAACTCTTGGAACGAGTCTAGAGGAGAGCCACTAAGATGATCAGAAGGCTGGAGCACCTCTCCTATGAGGAAAGGTTGAGGGGGCTTGTTTAGCTTGGAGAAGAGAAGGCTCCAGGGAGACCTCATTGCAGCCTTCCAGTACTTAAAGTGAACGTATAAACAGGAGGGAGAATGGCTGTTTACGAGGGTGGGTAGTGATAGGACAAGGGTGAATGGTTTTAAACTGAGACAGGAGGTTTAGGTCAGATATTAGGAGGAAGTTTTTCACACAGAGGATGGTGACGCACTGGAACAGGCTGTGGATGCCCCATCCCTGGAGGCATTCAAGGCCAGGCTGGATGTGGCTCTGGGCAGCCTGGTCTGGTGGTTGGTGACCCTGCATATAGCAGGGGGTTGAAACTAGATGATCATTGCAGGCCTTTTCAACCCAGGCCATTCTATGACATAGCAATATAGGCATGTGAAAGCATCCAGTGGTTTAAGAATTATTTTGTTCTGAATATCCAATCCTCCTTTCCCACCACATACCTCCATGCAGTTAACGTCTTCATTATCCCTCAGTGCAAGGATATCTTCACAAATCGCAGCAGCTTGCAGCCCACAAGGCTGATGATAGAGCACAACACATTCTCACAACCTACTCTAACAAAGAGGGCTACAGGAGGCTTCAACCCGCTGTGGAACAGCCTCAGAAGCTGCATGGATTAGAAGATCAATTAATTCATGGACAGGAACAATTTCCCCTTGATCTTCCACTTCTGCTAATGCCTTCTAGCAACACTGTTAAAAGGTGGAAGCAACTACACCTTCCTCTTCTGTAACCTTTCTCCATTCCTCAGTTCCCTTTCCTCTCTGCCGCAATTCACTCTGCACTCCAGCAGCGCAGTCAAACTATAGTTTTGGATGCAGGAAGAAATGTTTCACCTCCAAGGTTCAAAATACTCATAAAAAATAATCTCCAGACAGTAGAAACATTAGTATTTAAAACCGTTAATAGTTCTGGTTTCAGAGAGGGGAAAAAAAGAGGCTGAAGCTGTATTTTCTGAAGGCTTTGGCTCGTTCACTCTGCTGTCTTCTGTGGCCTGTGCTTAGAAAGAATAAGGATATACAGGACAAATAATAGTCTTAACCACTCCTTATGCGGGGAAAAAAACACCTCACTACATTTGCTAACTATGAAGTGGCTATTTGGGGAATCTATGTTCTCCTCACAGAATGTAGCTTTAACACTTGCCAAATAAAGCAAACTCTTAAGACAAGCCCCCTTCCAACCTTTCTTCTTTCAGGTTCCCTTCAGAATGTTTGCTGATGAGTCTCTCTACCTGAAATCTGTACAAACTCACATTCAGTGGCTTTTTGAGTCAAGAGAACTGATGGACATACAGTCATAACGCCATGCACATGCCTGTATCTCACATCCTTTGCAAGTAAAAAAGAAAAACAGCCAGTTCTGGAAGGACCAGAATTAAAGTTGACCAGCTTCCTGCAAGTTTTTTTAATTGATTTAAAAACTGCAAATCCTGCTTGAAGGTTTCCCTGTGGTTCTGGTACTTGCGAGTGCTTTCCCTTACAGTAGCTCTTCTGTGCATGTTAAAAGTAGGAGATGACATGGCAACTTTTTGCTCAATTGCTGAGGCACTTGCAGGTATCAGCCATATTCACAAAGTAGGTCGGAGCTTCACTGTCTGCGAAACCACCACTTCGTCCAGAGGAGAGCAACAGAACTGATCCAAGGGATGGAAGACCACTCCTACAAGGAAAGGCAGAGAGAGCTGGGGCTATTCAGCCTGGAGAAGAAAAGGCTCTAGGGAGACCTGATAGCAGCCCTTCAGTATCTAACGGAGGGCTGTAAGAAAGGAGACAGACTCTTTAACAGGGCCTGCTGTGACAGGACAAGGGGAAGTGGTTTCAAAAATAAAGAGAGGAGATTTAGATTGGATATAGGGTAGAAGATTTTTTACAGTGAGCAGGTGAGGCACTGGCACAGGTTGCCCACAGAGGTGGAGGATGCCCCATCCCTGGAGATGTACAAGGTAAGGCTAGGGGGGCTCTGAGCATCTGATTGAGTTGTAGGTGTCCCTGTTCAGTGGGGGGCAGTTGGACAGGATGGCCTTCAAGGGTACCTTCCAACTCTAACAAAGAAATCACAGAACAGATTTGTTAATTTTGGGAAGAATATGCAAACAATTCAGAAATTTCTGGGACAAGGGACATTAGACACATAGAGTGAGATCACAAACCAACCACAAGGAAACTGTCTTGAAGAAATAAGACAATGTCTTGAACGGCAAAATTCAGTCCTTAAATGCACAGGGCAGTCTTTTCTGCCATTAGTTTTTCCTCAGCAGTAATTGGTTCTTCCACATTCTCCACAGTTCTTCCAAGAACAGATACAGCATACTGAGGAATAAGGCTTCTTCTCATCTTTGAGTTTCTGCTTTCTTCTATGGTTTTCACGCTGACAATTCCAAAGGGGCTTCCTACTTCTCCATACTACAGTCTGACACAGAAAGAACAGTAAGCACACAGAAGTCACAGATATATTTTCCTCTCCTTTTTGATGCTGAAGCTCTCACAAAAACAGTTCTAAGACCATAATACGCCCAGAAGTTCACACTATTTTTCTGCTATACACAACCATAAATCAGATCTTCTTCACAGGTTCAGCATCTGATCGTACTGGGCTGATTTCCAGACAAGCATCAGCAGACAGCTCCCTGCAGACGTGGCAGCCCTACACCACGCTGCAGCCCTAGCGTAAAGCGCTCCGGACACTCCATCATTCCTCCCTAACCTCGCTGCATGACAGCACCGCTCCAGCTAACACTCCTTAGCAAGAACAAACAATGCAAGAGCTCGGGCAGCTGCCCGGGGTGTGCTGGGCTGGAAGGGCTGAGATGTGACACAGCAAAACACAGGCTGTACTGCGCGCGAACAGGGGGGCCTGTGCTGCGTGCGAACAGACCGCCGCACGCAGCAGCAGCAGCAACTTCAGCTTACGCCTTTTTCGTTTTACTCTTTTTTTTTTTTCCACCTCGGGAAATCAAATTATAACCACACCATTAAGAATACCTTTAGTTATATTTAGCGGACGGCCACGGCGACGTGTATTTGTGCAGAAACCAACGGGGGCTGCTGACACATTCCCAGCTTCGACGTGCCTGCTGCCACGTCTGCGAGCAGGGCTCTCGCTGGAGGTATTCTCAGCAGTTTACCCTTAAGACCTGCGCGGTTCTGACACAAAGCTGATGCCGTATACTCAGACAGCACTGAAAACATACATACTTACATACTTACATACATACATACATACATACATACATACATAAACAAATGCACAGTACGAAGACAGAAGGCAGCGCATCCCACCGCCATCCACCTGGAGCTGACGCAGCACGGCATCCCTGCCTGCTGCCCGCCTCCCCTCAGCCCGACGTGACCCGGCTGGATGCACCGAAGCTGAGGGCGGCCCCCAACGCTGCCCACGCCCGCCCAGCGGCTCACACCGCGCCGCCACCTCTCCCTCACAGCTTCACTGCCATAATGGCGACCGGAGGCCTGGGCTAACAGCCGTATCACGCCTCCTCCTTCGCGGGATCCCTGCGCCGCCAGAAAGTAGTCCCCGCCCCCCACCCCTGCCGCCCGCCGGGGGAGCCCCGCGGCGCGCACGGGCAGAGTTCCATCAGCGCCAGTGGAATCCTTCCGCCGCCGCGCGCTGGGGCTCCGCCGGCATCCCCGCCCCTCGGCTAGATCCGGCCGGGCCGGCGCGGAGGGATCCCCGGGGCCGCGCCGCGCCGGGGGAGGGGGCCGCGGTGCTGGGGGGGGGGGGGGGTGCGAGGGGGCAACAAGGGCGGCTCCGCGTTAACTTTCCCCCCCCCGGCAGCCCCCCCCTCCCCGCGCGATGGACAAGGGCGCGGAGCCGTGGGGGGCCCGGAGCCGGGCGGCCGCCGGCGGCGGTCCTAAGAGCGGCGGCAGCCCCTCCGAAGGGCCCTACTCAGAGCTGGAGAGCGGCGGCGCCGACGGCGGCGACGAGCACGGTGCGAGCTGGGCCGTGTGCGCGCCGCCGAGCCGGGGGAGGGCGCGAGGGCCGGGGAGCGCCCGCCGCCCCCATTGTTCTGCCGGAGGCAGCCCCCGCCCCCCCC